GTGTGAGTGTGAGTGTGTGTGTGTGTGTGTGTGTGTGTGTGTGTGTGTGTGTGTGTGAGAGCGTGTGTGTGTTTGTGTGTGTGTGTGAGAGTGAGAGAGAGTTTGTGATTAATCAGTCTGTCCTTTAACAGGCTGTTCTGGCATCTCACAGGTTATTTTTAGCGGACTGGAATGCGGCGCTGAAACTAAAGCACACAAGTGAAGTGAACAGCTGTCGACTGTTTACCTGCTGAAACACACGCATGAGCAGCACTAGTGCGTTATGTACCAGAACGTTCAGAAGGGTTTTTAGGGCTTCTGTGTGTAAACTGGCTAAAGTGATTCCTCATGATACGACCCATTTTGTGACCTCCGAGACATTTTCAAGAAAACATCTGAAGGAAAAGATGTTGTGGGTATTTTTAGTAATAGTGGTTTGTTGTTTCTGCATAAATCTGATCAGCGACGCGTCACAAGCGTAAAAACACCTTCTGCCTCCAGTGTGACTGAGATTAACATCACATGAACACTTCAGACGGACGCTGCTCTCGCTCTGATTAACCCACGTCTACACGTTCACTCGCGCAGCAGAGAGACCAGGAACACATCTTCACAGTTTAGCTTCACACCAGCATCTAAACTAAATCCTGCAAACAAGATCTGCGAGAGAGATTCAGCAGAATGAGTGGATTTCTGTGCTGGAATTCACACAAAATATAGATTCATCTAAATACAAATCATTTACTTTAATACAGACACATTTTCAAGCGTATTAGCCTGTATTTCAGCATCCTGCAGCATGTTTGCATGGGTTTTTACATGGTTCAATGAGGAATTTTTAATCAATTGTTATATTTCCAGCAAAAAATTATTATTATACAAAAAGAAAATTAGAAACAAGCCTAACTAACTCAAAGAATTAGTTTAACAGGAAAAAGACAGCACACAACACCATTACTGATCATGTAATGAACAACATTACTGATGGATTCTTTGATGCTTCTACAACTATTAAAAGTAATTCTTGTGATTTTAACAAAACCTCATCGATGTGGTCAGCTAGATAACATTAGACTGCTCAAATCAGCAGAATTAAACAACAACACGAAACCAAAACGCTCGCGGACCGTCACTGCTACAGAAACATCCACTTTTTTTTGTTTTTTTTTAAAGAAAATGTATACATTCTTTTTAATGTAGAAAGGTCGTATACAAATGAAATGATATGAATATTTAAACTCTTAATGTTAAAGGTCTTCAGGCTCTTATATTTTGCGCTGACGGTCACGCTCATCACTACACAGACAGAAGATCTGGTCTCACCGTCCTGTAGATCTCATCGCTGCTGTCCTCAAACTTCTGCTGGATCCGCTCCTCCAGGAAGTAGATGCGCAGCTTGAGGCTGAAGTTCTCCTTCTTCAGATCATTGAGGTGCTGCGAGAGAGTTCGGTAAGTGTTAGACATGTCCGGCAGGAGTGTGTGTGTGTGTGTGTGTGTGTGTGGATCATCACGCAGTCCGTCTGCCACTGCTCGCACACATCACACGGTTCAAGCACAACTACAAACACACAAAAACAAATGAAAGATCCTCATCTACATGACTGATCTTATTTACACGCCATCTTCACGCTCAAACACACATACAGAGAATGAGGGGCCACTATAAGGGCCCGGGGCCGCAGAGCCGTGACTCCATGATGAGCTTTAGGACAGAGATACAGACGGCAGAGCAGTTTTTACTCTGGAAGAAATGCCAGGAATCCCTGACAGTCCAGAGACGAGCCAACCAGAGGACAGGCTGCAGTCATATGGAAGATGATCGCCAACCAGACAGAGAGAGAGACAGAGAGAGAGAGAGAGAGAGAGAGAGAGAGGGTTGAGATGGAGGCGAGATCATGTGAACATGAATATGACCTGGACTCGGTCCATCTGCTCCTCCAGCTCAGAGACGACGCTCTTAAACTGACTCACTAATAATAACTGGACGCGAGGGTCAGCAGGAGGAACCGTCCCAGCAGCAGCTTACATGTGTTTATTCCAGACTGGAATCAGACATTATGAGTCTCTCTGAGCGCTGGTCTGACTGTGTTACGTAACTCACTCTGAACCTGCTGTTGTCACTGTGTGTTTCACAGCCCTGCAGAACAACGTCTAGAAATACATGAAGCAGTCGCACCTGCTGTCATTCATGGCAGAATAATACTGATGAAGAAGATGATGATGAAGACGCACAAACACTAATGTAAGTCTGGGAATGACTTTGAGATCAAAACATGAGGCACAAATGAAAACTTTCTTATATCTGAGCTTGTATCTTTTTACTCTTGTACCGATTATAACTGACATCACCTATACTGCAATATAAGGCTCATTTATTTTATAAAAAATACAGTAAAAACATTTAAATATTATTGCAATGTAAAACAGCTGTTTTCTATGTGAATATCTGTTAAACTGTAATTTATTTCTGTGATGCGCAGCTGTATTTTCAGCATCATTACTCCAGTCTTCAGTGTCACATGATCTTCAGAAATCATTCTAATATGCTGATTTATTATCAATGAAAACAGTTTTGCCTAGTTGAACAAAAGAGACTTCTTTAAAACAAACATTTTAAAAATCTGAATTATTCCAAACGTTTGACTGGTCATGCACATACATAGACACAATTTCAAGCATTTAATATCAATCAGAAGATTTTTAAGGTCTTCTCTAAGGTCTATACCAACACACTCACACAAACTTTTCTTCTGCTTCTCTGAATCACATTACAGCAAACAGCACATGGTGGCGCTAGAGAGCAGCACATTTACCCAACATGCAGATGTTCTCATTCTCTGTAGCCTATTGTGGATGTGTGTGTCTCCCTGCTCCTGAAACTCAGCAGGCCGCTTGGAAACAGATGTGGAAAGTGTGTTTCAGACCACTGGTGGAAATCTAATTATATATCTAATTATATAACTGCTGCAGACAAAGACAGAAAATCTCACCTGCTCAAATTCTCTCAGCGGGTGTGTTTGAAGAGGAACTTTATCAGTGTCTTCATTTAGACAATCTACAAACACACAAACGCTTGGTAAATGCACTAATATATATATATATACAGACACACACACACACACACATATATTCACTGTTAAAACAGTGACCCAAAAATGCATTGGACACTTTTTGAATAAAATTGTATTACATGGTTTTTTTTAACAATCATTTTTGCACTAATAACAGAACCTTCATGTCATTTTTCAAAACTCTAGACACATAATTCACAACCAATGATCAAAATGCACATTTTTCAAAACGCTTAACACTTTTTTTCAAATGCTTGGATACAATACACATGAACCAAAGATCTTTTGTTCATTGAACTGAAATCACTGGTTCAAAATGACACAACTTAACATCAAAGTATTACTATTTCACACATTACATCTGATTTGAGTGTCTATTCATTTCATTACAAAGATCTAACTATCAATTGATAACTGCTCAAAATGATAAGTTGCATTACTCTTGATATGGAAACTGATGAACAATATTCCATGTTTAGATCATGAAAGATTCAGGATAGATCAATTGACACCAATTACTACAGAAGATGACCCAGATGGACTACATTATCTATGGATGTCATATTTCATTCTTTATCAGATATGGTTTCTATGGTCCCATGTACCACTTTTACAGAACACATTTTCATATTCAACATTACTGTATGCAAGATGTCTCTTTTACATAATTGTTTTTGAGGTTTTAATGAGTTCATGACTACTCATTACTGCTGATTGATTTCACATATTTGTATGCATATATACTGTAAGTAAGATGAGTGGAATCCTAGTAGCCCACTCAACACAGTGAGGACATGGAGCCAGAAGTGGAAGGTGAAAGGCAAGGATTACATGGTGGTCAAAGGAATAGAAGGGGACAAGTAGTGATGGGAAACTGAGGCTTTCTGAACCGTTTGAGGCTTTCATCAAATTGTGCCGAAAAAAGGTTCATTAAAACAGCATTAGCGACATCAGGTGCTCATACTTGTCTTCTCCACCATATCTAACCAATCAAAGCGCAGCAGAGGATATACGGTTTGCAAAATCACGTGACCACACAGAGCTGATATAATCTCATCTAAATTAATGTGTGCCAATGAGACCAGAACTCGTGTCATAGCCTGGTCAACGGATTCACATATTGATCAATAATATAAAATACGCAAGCATGTGATCAAAGTTAACAATTGACGTAGGTAGCTGAAAAAATATTTTGGGTGAGCTGTTTAACCTTTATGTTCTGCTTGGAGTCTCTGAGACCCTAGCTCTAAAACATGATTCACTTTCTGTCCGGTGTTGAGGTCACAGTCCCTGGCATCAGGTCAGGTGGGGTCACGAAGCGCCAGTTTTTTCAAACCAGCTGTCCCGACCTTCCGATACTGCATGATGTTCCAAGCTTCAAACGTCATCAGTCACGTGATGTTGTCATTTCGATACAAGCTTCCGCACAGTGTGTGATACAATAGTGGTTTGAAAACTGCGTCGGAGCCTCGGAGCCTCGGTATCATCCGTCCCATCACTACGGACAAGCACTGAGAGGTGGCCGTGGGCCTCGTTTGAGAGATGTGGGTGATCGAGGACAAGACTACAGACCTAGACACCGGCAGCAACAGCAAAGGCTGTCGAATGAAATCAGAGCTATAGTTGTAGACTATGTCATAAATCATGACATGACAATGAGTGCAGCAGCTACAATGTTTCAACCAAATCTCAGAAGATCATCTGTGGCCTCAATCATCAGAACATTTTCCGCAATGAGAACCGGTAAGTCTTCAGAATCCACTAAAGTTTAAGCTACTTGAAACTGTTACAGTAAATTAGTGTATACAGCATGGCAGTGTGTACCACAGAGTGTGATGTGATTTCTGTAAATGTGTTCTTACTGTGACTTTCTCCCTGCAGAATAGAGACTAGGCCAAATAGGGGAGGCAGAAGCAAAATTCTGACTGACCAACAAGAGAAGGCTGTGGTCAGTTTGGTTTGGTCCAGAAATTATATTCGTCTTACAGGAATTCAGCAACACATCCTGGACAATGACGACGTTTTCAGCAATGTGGAAGCCACAAGTTTGCCGACTATTGCACGGGAGCTGAAAAGACATCAGGTGTCTTTAAAACAACTATACCGTGTGCCTTTTGAAAGAAATACAGATAGAGTGAAGCAACTGAGGACTGAGTATGTTCAGGTATGACCAATTTTCCTGTTTTTAGGGGAGAAAAAAAATCCCCAAACATTCTTTATCATTGTAATCAGTAATTGTCTTTGTGTTTTTAGAGGGTGATGGAGCTGGATGCGGAGGAAAACCATCACAAATTCATATTTTTGGATGAGGCAGGCTTTAACCTGGCCAAGACAAGGAGGAGAGGTCGAAAATTAATTAGCCAGCGGGCAACCGTCCAGGTACATGGACAACATGTGTGCAGCTGTACCAGAAGATGGAGTGGTTGCACGCAGACCTCGTGTTGGGTCATATAATGCAGATCACCTCATAGCCTTCCTTGATGAGCTGAATCAGGTCTGTAGAGCTGATGGTGTGACCTACGTAATAGTTTGGGATAATGTTCAGTTTCATCATGCTCAAATGGTCCAAGCATAGTTTCAGGCCCATCCACAATTTCTCACCCTGTATTTACCTCCATACTCCCCTTTCCTTAACCCGATTGAGGAGTTTTTCTCCACATGGAGGTGGAAGGTCTATGACCCTCACGAACAACTCACTCTTCTCCAGGCCATGGATGATGCATGCAATCACATCAGAGCAGATCAGTGCCAGGCCTGGATTTGCCATGCCAGAAGATTCTCTCCCAGATGTTGAACGAATGAAAACATTCATTGTGATGTAGATGAGAACCTGTGGCCAAATCCACAAGACCGGGTTGATGGAAACATAGATGCATTTTTTTCTTTGGAAAACGTATGTTGTGATTTTATTTCATCAAATGAACCAATGCTTCTGCAAATGCAAGGCTTCTTTAAAGATATGAGCGCAATATGCAAAGTTTTGAACATTGGACAGCCTGTGTTACAAATAATGACTGTTTTGAGTTTTGTGTCTAGAGTTTTGAAAAATGACATGAAGGTTCTGTTATTAGTGCAAAAATTATTGTAAAAAACTGTAATATATTTGCATTTGTGTGTGTGTGTGTGTGTGTGTGTGTGTTACCTGTTATGTAACCAGTAGATCCGCATTCATTTCTCTCTCCATCCACAACAAAATCTCTGAAAAATCAGAACAAGAAGAATCCATAAATCATGAGTTCATTCACACACAAACACACACATTACTGAACTGTTTTTGTTGCTGTGTAATCCAGCATGACTGAATGAACTGTTCACTGGAATGACATCTTTCAATATACTGTGTATATATATATATATATGTACATATTGACATTTAATGTCTTTTATTTCACTTAAAATCAGTCCACATCACAATCACACAAAGATTGCTTAACTGTAATTAAAGAGCAGACAAGCCACATTTGGACATTAATTTAAGCTCTGGACGGCACATTTATCAAGTTTATGTAAACTTATAACAAGCCCTGAATGTTCTTACGGTGAGACTGGAATGTAAAATCTGAGCTAATCTTGTAAAATTTAAAAAACTATTTTAAGTGGAATTATATGAGGCATTAGTACAAACTACGAAGTCTATTTTTTTTTAAGTTATATGACTTTATATTTTAAAATTCACTTTCAACACCAAAATGAGCATGGCATATTACTGACCCAAATACTGTCTGAATATAAACGCGTCTGAAATATTCCACAATAATCCTGTAGAGACACATGCAGAGGATGAGCATCACATCGGCTGAGCGTGGTCTTTCATGTCAATAAATCATCCACCGGTAAATCATAAATCCAATAAATCCAAACATCATGACAAATACACACACAATTGAGTCAGGTGCTTTAATTAGGAGACATCTGAGTAAATGAGAGCCTCACATTCGACACACTGACCATCACACACACATCATTCATCTCAAACCCCCATCAGCACAAATATACCAGACTGAATGGAGATGCTTCTTCTTCTCACGTGTTTGTCTTAATAAAAACACCTGCGTAATCTCACAGGTGTCTCCTCTCGAGTAACAGACGGATCTCAATGTCTCAAACTGTGCTCAGATCTGCCAAGATCACGAGATCTCAGTCTGAACTCAAACATTTCTGCTCTGATGATCTGAGCTGCTTTATATCTTAATGGGTCACAAATACTGACTGATTTGGGTCTGATTTCATTCTAGCAGAATCATCTGAGACGAAGATATGGAGCTGTGAAAGCAGATGAGAGAATGACAGAGACATCAGCGCAGCTCGGTGTAGCATGATCCTGTGTGATCAGGTCACAGCACTGCTTATGAGATGAATATGAGGACTTGTGAACATCTGATGAACGGGTGTAGCTTGATCAGCTGATCGAGTTTCATATAAATACAGCGCAGGTGCGTCATGCATTCATCTCTAAACCCTCGTGAATATTAGTCCCGATGCCATATGAACTGTGTCTGGACATAAACGCACGGCTGGTGCAGCTGTGAAATGAAGGCCGTGTGTGACGCTGATGTGAATCAAAGCCCGGATCCTCACCGCTCGGCCGCAGCCCTGCTCGCGCTCTCCGCTCCGCTCCGGTTCATCATCGAACACCGGGCCGCTGCATCGGTCAGCGCGTCTTATTCCTCACAGACAGATCCTGGAGAACTGCTCGGCTCGGCTCGGCTGTGCTACAGTCCCAGGCTCGTGTGAAGCTGCTTCTGGACTCATTCAGGTTACATCTGACCTGCATCAGCAGAACCACAGCAGAACATCGGCTGTAACGCGCATGCGTCTCTCCGCACTCATCACGGGACGTTTGCAGCGCTTTCATTAAGAGCACAATAGAAATCTCGCTTACATTTACTAACCGTCTGGATTTATAAATATAAGGTTTATGGAGACCGCGGTCACAAACTTCTGCTCGCCGAAATAACTGAGCAGAACTAGAAACATTTATATTAATTTATGACATAGGTATTACCATTTATCTTAATAAATGTTCATTTCATTTATTAAATATAATGAAATATATCAATTACATACATCGCTGACTATCACATAATGCTTCTGGAAATAATGAGTGTATGATGACCGTTTTAACTCATATTGGGAAGAAATGCGTTTGTACATCTGAATCTCTTCATGATCTATAGGATGCTCTAATCTGAGAGCTAAACAGTGATTTTTTTGTTAAAGTCAGTTCATCATTGATTCAGTAATGTCATCGTCCAGCTCAGTTCAGTTCTCTTCAAGTAGTGTCGGCTTATAGACATACTGATTTAAATAAAAGGCCTTTTTGAATGAAATGTATGTTTTATTGTTTAAATCGTGTAGAATGATGGATGAGAGTCAGATAGCTGTGCATTTTGCATTACACCTGATTCAAATCATCAACTCATTAGTTGAGGACTCAATCCCTTACGAAAATTAACTATAGTTTTTCTACAAATAAAACCAAAACACCATGGTTACTATAGTTAAACCACAGTAACCACAAATTAACCATGGTTTTGGTACACTAACCGTAGTTTAACCATGGTATTTGTTGTAGAACTGTGGTAATATAAATGGTAATCAATACGCCAAAAAAACATGGTTACTACACTTTTACTATAATAAAACCATGGTTATTTTTCGTAAGGGATGAGCTCAGCCATCAGAAAGGACAGACAAACTAAAAGAGGGTCTGCTGTTTTAGTGCAAATGATGCAGTTCCAGCAGGCGTCTCCACGTACAGCACAACTAATGCAGAGTCACTGTAAACCGAGCATAAACCATCAGTCATCTGTGCTGAAATATCAGTGAGTGTGTCAGTTCTGTCTGTGAGTCTGGAAGCTGATTTCTGCTCTACTCTCGTCTTGTTATGAAGGGTTAGTTCACCCAAAAATGTAAATTAGCCCATAAATTACTCACCCTCAAGTCATCCTAGGTGTATATGACTTTCTTCTTTCAGACGAATCCAGACGGAGTTATATTAAAAATTGTCTTTGATCTTTCAAGCTGTTGCGCAGCGCTGACCTCATACGCCATCCGCCCTGAACTGCTTCCGTGTACAACAGTGAGCGCAAGCTACATTAAAGTGATTATTACGTTTTGAATATGGATATTTTTCTTACGAGAACTAACCCTTTAAGGTATTCAGACTGCCTAGAAACATCCAAAGGCAAGTTGAGCTAAACTCTGCAGGTCTGGATCCCCTGCTCTACACGTTCTTGCCGAACACGACCCGCGGGCCGGTGCGCGGCGGTCTGGGCTCCATGCTGTCAGAGATGATCCAGATGGCCGGGGTGTATCTGTTGCCCTCCATCACCACCCGGATCTCCTCGGCACGGGCCATCTCCTCCAGCTCCGGGCTGGTCTCCGGACACCAGTCGGCCATGAACTTGTCCTTGGCCTCGCACAGATTGAGCCGCACCTCCTCGGGCTGCTGGCCGAACAGATAGTCTGCAGGGAGACAAGGAGAAGATGCTGGTTACCATCACAAACCTGAACTCTTAATGACCGGCGATGCAGTGATGGAGTTAACCATTATTAACCTGATTAACCTGATATTCCTGAACCACACAAGTCATGGCTACATTAGATCAGATCACATCTTTAAAGATTTTTTTATTCAAACACCTTGTAATGTGTAAACTGGGTATTTACCAAAGTGATGTCTGTGACATAATCAATACTTATTGATAGCTGCCTGTAGAGCGATTAATCTCGATTCAAACACTCATGCAATCTTATTTCTAAATGACAACCAGGACCGGCCCTTGCATTTTGGGGGCCCTAAGCAGATTTTCAAAAGGTAAAATAAGTTAATAGTTCAGATATAATCACTGCTGTCTATGGTAGCGATCAAATAAGAGCAAATCACCTTGAAAGTAACTGGCACTTCAAATAACGTTTGTGTCGATTACATTGTTTCTCCACTAGGTGGCGACAAGTGACTGTTAAAAATGTATTTGTCATTGATTCATTCATTCCAGAGATTCATTCAAAAACGTTGATTCATCCAGTAATGAAACAAGTGAAGTATTTATGAGTGACTCGTTGAATCATTCATTCAAACCAATTTTTTTAAATAATTCATTCAAATGAATTAAACATTTTTAAACAGACTGCAGCAATTCATATTTTGACACAGCCTCCAGTAAATGGCATGTTATTTTGTTTTTGGTTCAGAATCGGGGGAGAATCGTGATCTTTATTTGAGAATCCTGATTCTCAGTTTATCCAGAATTAGTTCAGCTCTAGCTGCCTGTAGGTGTCGCTAAATTTGGGGGGACTTGCAGACTAAACTCTTTAAACTAGTAGGTGAGGACTGTAACCATCATTGACCTCATGTTTAAGCGCCTCATCTCACCGGCTAAGTCGTGTATCAGGTCTTTGATGAGGTGGCCGATGATGGCGTAGAGTGTCATCACTATGATGATGGAGGCGAGGATGATGTAGAAGACGTGAATGGGCAGATGGATGGCGTCTCGAGCAGGTGGGATGTAATTCTTGAAGAAAACCTCCTGCTCACCAGAGGGGGGCAGCAGAGGAGGCTCACGCGGCCCCGCCATCATGCCCTTATCCATAACTTCAACACATCCTCACAGTTAACACCAATACAAGAACAACTGACCATAACCTAACCCTGCTGTTCAATGATCAATGAGCTGATCACAGTACAGATTACATGGCAGTCATAGTACATCTTGATAGTTTTACAACACACAGTATTTCAATAAGCTCAAAACACTCACTGTGTTCCGCTTTTATGATGTCCATTTATTATAGACATTTTTTTCAGGACCTTTAAATGCAATTCTTTGCAAATAAACAGCTCAAACACTCAAGCACACATTAAACGTGTCGTAAGGTTGTGCAAGTGTGGATCAGAAGCTCAATACATACCGTCCAGATGAGAGTTAGTTCACAGGCAGTGATGAAGGTCAGATGTTATCCGTCTGGAGAAATCAAAGTGTTAGACGTTCATGTCTTTCCCTTCCTCGCAAACTCCAGCAGTGAATGAAGAATAAAGGATGAGACGCTGATGCACGCATGTGCGGCGCTGTGATTGGCTGAGACGCTCAAGGTCACAGGCTTTATCAGCAGATATTATCCAGCTTTCAGACGGCTTACAGACTGGTTATGGTTCATCATAACTGAGAGGACAGGTACACACAGTGCTCAACTTTATTAATAAAAGATAAAACCTCAGGAACGATGTTCTAGCATGTGTAAAAACGAATGCCACAATTTAATTCTCTCTGAACAGCAGATCGATTAAACCAGTACAAGATTAAAAAAATAATGAAACTAGGTCAGCGTTAGTTTAGCACGACATATTTCATTGTTTTGATTTTGGGCTCTCGACAGGCCTCATGCGTTTCTGCTGTGGTGTTTTAGAGCTGAACATCTCACATGTTTCTGTGCTTATTGATCCAGACAGGCATTAGAATAATCTAGTAGCTCATAAAGATGAATCACACAACAAGCTGTTGGTTCCTAATGAGGAGAGGCTTTAATTCTGTATCTCACGCATCATTTATGCCTTCTCTTATATGTATATACAGTGCCAGAATTCATTTTAATGGCATCACAGAATGCAGCAGTTACAATGATGACATCACAACGATCACATGACCACGTCCTCTTTCCATACTGAAAGACTGCTATCTATGCTTTGCTGTTCTACAGCAGCTAAAAGAGCATCTGGTATGTTAAAAACGTTAAAAATGAAGTGAAAAACCTAAGCCAGAATAATGACAGCTGGCACAGACTGCACGTAGACTCATAGTAAGTGATGTACTGAAGGCTGGATCCTGTGAGATAGTGTTCGGTGATGATGAATCCCAGCAGCAGACCAGCTCGCTCTTCCTCCATCAGAACCCTCTCAGCATGACCAGCTTCAGTTTTAGGGCCGAAGACCCAGTCTGAGGAGAGACGACGAAAACATTCAGTTCATGCGACACCAACACACGCTGCTTATATTACGAGACACTTACTGCCTTATTGAAGCTATCAGCATCTGTGTTCACTGGGAGTCAAACAAAGTGTTGCTCTACCAGGAATATATAGATAAGCTAAATATCAATCATTTAAAATATCAACAATTTTCTTAGTTGCCACGTTCCTCTAAATGCACGAGTGCTCATGTGTGATTAGTAGCTTGAGGAAACGTGTTCATGCAGCAGCTGTTCACAAACTTGAACTCAGTGCATTTGCGCAGTAATGAAAGCGCTTTCCTCTCACTTTATAGACGTGATCTTACGCATGTAACGAGCAGTGTGTCTCCTTCTTGAGCAGCAGTGAAAGTTTGTAGCTTTTGTAATAGTTGCATTTGAGTCCCTTAATCATCCTCAGTGTGAAAAGATGGATCTCAAATCACTGTTGTGAAGATCTCAAATGTGCAGAAGATGCTGGAAAAGCAAAGAATGTACAGGAGTATTTTCCTGAAGAACAGCAGGCAGTCTAACTGATCAGCACAAACAGAGACTCATGATGAACAACATCACAAACAGGAAGATACAGACCATCAGATGAAACATCAGTAACATCAGTTCAGTTATTACTGGTTATTATCTGTGACGTGAAAGAGCTTCATCAGGATAGAGCTACATAAAAACAATGTTTTATTTTTACATGACAGTACCGTCCATTTAAACGACCCACTTTGAGCACATCTGAGTCTGAACCCACACAGAGTATATCACAACAGACATCCAACAAAACAAAGGCTCACATGTGAAAGCAGCAGAAACACGGCACTGGGGATGCGGAAGGAACAACACGCCACCAAACACGGCTCAGCACCGCTTCACCCGACAGACTCTACGTATTGTTGGATTCACACACCGATAGATTTATAAAAACCTGAAACTCAAACACAGTTCTTACCTTGACACTTAATTTCTTTGTGCACATGATCTAAGACTAAAGTCCTCATGCTACCGAGCCGTGCCGCTCTGTCTACTCCGGACACACTTCATCTGGATCCTCTGAATTTAACCTCATCAGCTCATATAAGAGAAACATCCACTCCACGACTGTGATGCTGATGTTGAGCACGACGATCAAAACCATGAGCCAGTGCAACATGCTGGTGTTCTGTGGAGTGTCTCTGCGCGAGATGGTGCCCTGCTATAATCCACTGATCACACTTGAAAACGCTGTCATATGCATCTCCAAAACTAATCCAACTGTTTATCTAATAAGCCTTCAGCTCAGATCCCATCTGCACTGCTTACAAGCCCCCCCTGGACCCCCAGCAGCTCAGTCTCTTCTGAAGAGCTGAATCAGGTGTTAGATGCGGGACACACAACTCCTGCAGCGCTGGACCGTCTCCGAGCAGAACCACACATGGGATGCTTTTCATGCTTCACCAGTTATTTCATTTCTTCTCTCAGGTGAAATAAAGCGACACGACCAGCAACTCTTTCTTAGAAAACGGCGCCATTTGTGTCTCTGTGACAAACATTATTTGACTCTTTTTAGTGTGTGATGCAAAGAAATGCATCCATGTTTTCATTAGATCATCAGACAATTAGCATGTCTCCATTCATCATATAAAAATGCTTCATGTATTTGAGAAAATACTTACAGTACTGACTGTAATAATGTGTCCTCAACCTCTCAAATATTCTTCTGAATATAACCGCTGCACAAGGGTTTCAAAGAGAAGGGTTAAAAATACTTTCCTGCAATTATAATGTAGTTCTGAAGGTTTAATAATGAAATATAAGAGTTTGGGAAAAGCCCATGAATTAACAATAAATTAACAATAAATAATCTATTAATCTATGCACATAGTAATGATTATAAGTGAGGGAAAGTTGTAATACATTGAACCGTGAGACTGTTTTTCTCTTACCTGTAAATGAACAAGCACTCCACAATTCCCAAACGGTGCATCTGTTACAGAACAAAAGAAAAAAAGAAAGGCTGACAGAAAACTTCAAACTGCAGGGGAAGCTCTGTAGCTGCAGGCGTCTGACGCAGAGGAGACTCAATTTCAATTTCAATTTAAGAGTGCTTTATTGGCATGACAAAAATTATACATTTGTATTGCCAAAGCATGCTGTTTTTTTGTTTTCAGCTAAATGAGATCGACGAAGGTAAAGAGTTGCGTCAAACATGAGAAACTGATTTAAACACACTGCTTTAGTGAAAAACTCTCACAGAACGCATCTTTGCATCTAAAAGCACGAGATGCAGCACTCAGGAATGGTTTTTAAAAAAGCTCAGCGCAGAACGCCTCCTCTGCCTTGTTGCTGTCAAATAAAACGTCTCAGGTTACTTATGTAACCATGGTTCCCTGAGTAGGGAACGAGACACTGCGTCCTCTAGGGGCCGCAGTGCACGCCGATTGCCCCCTCGGAGGCATCGCGTGCGTGCTCTTCGCCCAAACAAATAACGCATAGATCGAGTGTGTCATCAGATGTTAAACAATGTCAACACGGATGCACACATCCTTAAACGCTTTGCTAGTGCTCGCCATAATGAGATGAATAGAGATCGCTCTTACCACAGAAATGCACGCTTCAAACAAAACAGTCAATGAAGATGAAGAAGAGAATGATGTGTGCTCCCGGCACCTATTTATACTATAGTCGCACCGGTAGTGACGTCATGGCTGTCGCCGGCCAACGAGTTGGTGTTTTTTCAGTGTATGCTTCAGACACGGGTCACGACGAGGAGTTCCCCATAGCGACCCCTAGAGGACGCAGTTCGAAGTTCCCATGAAAGGGAACTGTTGCCATGCCAACCTGCTACTGTAAACAAAAGCTTGCAACTCTTGCCCCGCCTCCAGGATCTTCTGATTGGTCCACTGTTTAGGAACTGACATTGATGAGCGGCGCTGCAAAGTATAACTATAATAATAATTTGCACGGCTTGATGTGATCTGAGCTAACTTTACTATCGTTAGATTTAATCACCATTGGTAGTGCGATTTATTATAAACTTAAAACTAACTTTAAATTTAAACAATTAATGTCATTAAACTATTATAGAGCAGCAAACAGGAATTATGCACGTGCATTTATTAGCTTGAAAATCATACATTTAGTCATTTTATTAAAAATTAGGCTACACTACTGATGCTGCTGAAGAACTGCAATCGTTGCATATTTTGATCTTATCAGTTCCAGTATTTTCAGCTCAGAGATGAACCGATGATCGTGTTTTGTGTCTCTTGTTTCTTCAGGAGTCCATATCATAATCTCTTCACACGGATCTGATAATGACCTGACATTACAGGAACATCCTAGAAATCAATAAACTGATCATCAGTCACATGACCTCCCCATTTCCTCTGGTGCTGTTCGACAACAGGAAGTGATGAGGACCGAACAGGAAGTATGATGTTAGGAGACTGTCATGACTGCCAAATAACTGCGTGTCATTCAGGATTCTTTTATGTCACCGCTGTGCTTTCTCGTTTTACAGATTATTATTATTATTATTATTATTATTATTATTATTAGGGGTTCAAGTGCGTAGTGCTGAAACCATATTGTAATTGTAAGGATTTTTTGTATTATTATTCTGAATGAATAAATAATGAATAAAGGGGATCAAGTGCGTAGTGCTGAAACCATATTGTAATTGTAAGGATTTTTTGTATTATTATTCTGAATGAATAAATAATGAATAAATAGTGTATTTACACAATTCACAAGGAACTTAAAACTACACAATAAAACTAGAAATCCTAGGCTGTTAAAAGCACAGAGTCTTTCAGTTCAATACCGTTGAAACAGTCCTTAAGAAATCCAGCGTGCTGTAAGTTCCAATGTAAAAGTGTCCACCGGTGTATATACAGTCCAAAGAAAGTGATAATCCAAGATGTGTGAAAATACTGGAATGATAAGTCCATAAACAACAGTCCAGCGTGTAGGTGTTTGGTCAATGACTTCGTCTGTTTGTCATGCTGCCTCCTTTGTACTGTTCAGTTCCTGTTTTTTTGTCATGTGATGAGTCACATGACAGGCAGACCTGGAGTCACTTAAAGACATACACACAATAAAATAGTTCAGAGGAATAAAATGCCTAAGACAACATGAAAACCTATAAAAACTCAAATATACGTAAAATCATGAGCAGGTTAAAACATGTGTCCTGTGTGACAGTGTCACAATAGTAATTAAGCTTAAAGACACTATATTTCTTTGGGAAGCTCCCTGAAATTGTTATAACCAGTAGATGGCAGCAGAGGACCACTAATGAGCTCATTCAACTCACTAATATTGTACTTCTTACAGATTTTACTTTTGGATTCGCATTTAGACATTATAAAATCATTATTATTACATTTAAAATCACATTTACTCAAAGTTTACCCCTTTATTTATACAGACATATCAGTTTTGACAATTATGCCAGATTATGATTTCAGTGAAACCTGAAAATTATATATAAACCCTTAAAAAGAGAAGACTTGCAGTAAGCATTTTGTGACCTACCATTCATTTCAGAAATGTATATGTGCAACAAAATGTGTGTAAGCATGCTTAATGAGCACTAATGTAATAGTTTAACCATTAAATTTCTGTGTGGGTTGGACTCGACCCTAAAAGCATAGAACCTTAAAGGCCTTAAAGCGCTTGAACCCCGGTGATCACTGCTTGCAGCTATATTTATTATTATTATTGTTGTTGTTCTACAGATGATTATTTGTTTTATGATAATGTATGTCTGCCTTCTGTGGAACATCGTTGAAGCCATATGTTGTTATTATGGAGAGACACTTTGGTTCCTTTTAATGAAAAAACAACCTTTTAGAGCTTTTTCAATCAGAAGTTTAAAAAAATTATTTGGCTTGTTTCAGATGAACCTGTTTGGAGATTTCTGTAGTTTCTCCTGAATCATCCACTCAGAGCCGCGGGCGGGTTTCACACATCCACGTCTTCAGATGAGAAACACTGGGCTTTTATTTGAGTTCAGCTAAATGTTTTCCTCCAGTTGTTTACATGTTTTTCAAGTTTCCTGAATAAGGAGTTTTTATTATTCTTACTGACAGGATGCTTGTTGTTGGTGGAGTTTGTTATTTATTGGTTTGGAGTCGATGTGTGTTGAATGACGAGTTTGGTGCCGTGAACGAAACTACTAAACAAAAGAACATAACCGTTAAAAATATACTGATTTAATACAGTGGAAAGTGAATAAAAAACATCCCTCATATAGAATGTGTGTGTGTGTTTTTTATCATATGTGTGTATGTGTTTGTGTGTGTGTGTGTGTGTGTATGTGTGTGTGTGTGTGTGTGTGTGTGTGTGTGTTTTGTGTGTGTGTGTGTGGATGTGATGAAACCTTATGAAATATGCTTATGCTTGCCAAACTTCCATCCGGCATATCACACTCACAAGAAACAAGGCTTGTGTGAAAACATTTATAGTAGCTTGTTTTGCATGCTGTTTCAGTAGATCAGACATTCCTAATATGCTTACACAACAATGTATAATTGGTAACAAAGTTACAATTTCCAGGCCATATTCAAAGCATATTCCGTGATTAGTAGAAGTTAAGCTCACCTGGCAGCATTTGTGGCATAATGTTGATTGCATTTCTTTAAAACATTTTTTCCCTTTTCTTTCTTTCTTTCTTTCTTTCTTTTTTTCTTTCTTTCTTTTACCATGAGGTCCTTACAGTGGAATTGAATGAGGCCAATCCATAAATGTTAAAATACTCACTCTTTTAAAAGCCACACAAAGAAAACTATATGAATGTTAGCATTAAAAATGCTTACAAAATTTTTTTTGTGTAAAGTTATATTAAATTGTTTTAAGTATTATATTTTATTCTTGTTTTACAGAATATCATACAACTCTAAAATGACTGTAAGAGTGTGTGTGTGTGTGTGTGTGTGTGTGAGACATGCAAGTGTTTGACCAGGATGTTATGTGTAGCACAGTAAAGCCTACAGCACATGAATGGCTTGAAATCGAAACTACTGCGGTACAGTTTGCCACTTAAACACAAATGAACAGTCAGCAAAAAGTCTTTGTAGATTCTAATTACAGCTAACGACAAACAACATGCACAATCAGCACAAAGTTTTTGAATAAAATAAGCAGTAAACAAATTAATCCTCCCTACTAACAGATATTTATTCTAAACGACAGAAACAGAAAACTGACAAATCGCATATATATATGTATGTGTATGTGTGTGTGTGTGTGTGTGTGTGTGTAGTATTTGTAATTAGCTGTATATAGAAACAACAGAATCTATGAAATGTTCTCGTTTGGTGAGCCGAGTAAATGTGTGTGAATTTGACCAGTTATTTTATTTGCAGCCCATGACAGCGAACAATGAGTGCGGTTGAATCTGGAGGACAGACAGAATCTCAGCGTCAGCGTCAGAGGAAGATCTGCTCCATCATCTAACATTCATGATCATCCGTGATCGGAGAAAAC